CCCTCCCATCACTCACACTGACCCTCCTATCACTCAGACTGACCCACCCTCACTCACACTGACCCTCCTATCACCTCACACTGACCCTCCCATCACTCATACTGACCCTCCATCACTCACTCACACTCATCGCTGAATCAGAAATGATCACCCTAACTTGGTGGTATCAGTAAAGTGAGGTAAACTAGGTCATGAGGTTATAGATCTCGATGGATTACAATTCTGCTGTTGCTGATAACCAATAGTGTTTCATGGAAGCCGAGTTTTTCGCTGCTCGCTCTGATCTGAATCTATCCCATGTAGCAAAAAGATTGTTCTATCCAATACGATGAAGGGCAGTTAAATATTCACCACATTGCCTGGGTTGGATTTCTGTGTCGGTCAGACCAGGGAAAGACAACGTTGCAGTTCCTTTCCTGAAGGACATGAATGAAGCATAGGGGTTTTTATTGGCAACGTGGCAGTTTTGGTCATCATTACCAATTCTAACTTGTGATTCAAAGATTAATTAACTAACTGAATTTAAACTAACAAACAAACGTAGTGGCCTTTGAAAAGCTTGTCACTAGGTTACTTGTCCAAGTGCTAACCCTGGAACAGAAAGATTGTTCCTACATAAAATAGTCTTATTCCAAAAGATCAAATAAAAATTCACCAGTCTGCTGTCAAACTGCTGGTAGGTTTAATATACAAAGTGATTTCAGATTATAATGAATTCCTTATCTTATCTGGATGGGATGTTGTACAAAAAGATTGTAAGCTATTTCAAGAACGAGGTTGGATCATGACAGAAATCAGCTGTTGTTGCTGATGCAATACACATCTCTGAAACATTGACTGTGCGGATCCACTAAGCAGCTGCCGGCTGCATGGGGGACCCACAACCAAGACAGTTGTTTAAAGGACCAACTGTTCAACTCGCATGTGCCATGCTTTTGAGTTATTTCTGCGATTGCAAATGTTGTTGTTGTATTGTCACATGTTTTTGGAGGCCTGTCAATGCGTTCAAAAGCAGAGCTCCCAAACGTGCTGGTGCTAATCAAATGGAAGCAGCTTTCAGTGGTTCAGGTATGTCTGCAGGATGGGAGACAGTCACATACTCATCAATACCTGTATGGTGAGATAGCCAGAGTGAAATCACCACTGAGGTTGTGCAGGTGTGACATGAAGGCACATAACATTGACTGTCTGAATGTACAGATATTAAGGAGACTAACAAGATAAGGAGATATTAACGAACATCAGCCAGAAGCAAAACAGCATGATGAACTCTCCTTAATATCTGTACATTCAGACAATGAAGGCCATCAGTTTAACTGGGACAAAGTAATCATAGTAGCCCAAGCCAAACACAGACACGCACGGGAATTCCTAGAGGCATGGCTCCCCACCCATACTTCAATCAACAAATGTATAGAATTGAACCCCATATACAAACCCATACAGATCAAAACCAGAAATGACACTACTCACCATAACGAACCAGACGGTATAAATTCCAAGTGGAGTAGAATAACATTGCTTCATCGGAGGCTCCACTGATGATGTTACCTAGCACAGTGACAATACGCCTAAACAAAAACAAGCCAGCTCGGCGAGCAAGTCAACAACCTCTGGAAGTTCCAGAGTTTTGGCTCAATGACTGTGAAGGAATAATAATATATTTCCAATCAGAATGGTAGGTGTCTTTAGGGGAATTTGTAGGTAATAGTAAACCCATGCACAGCTGCTCTTGTTCTTGTAGATGTCAAAGATTGAAGACGGTATCAAAGTAGATTCAGCAAACTGACACAGTGCAGCTTTGATATGATGTACACTATTACCACTGCACACCGTTTTTTAATTCATTCATGGGATGAAGGCATCGCTAGCTAGGCCAGCATTTATTACCCAGAGGGCAGGTAACAGTCAACCATGTAGCTGTGGGTCTGGAGTCACACGTAGGCCAGACCAGGTAAGGACGGCAGTTTCCTTCCCTACAGGACATCAGTGAACCAGATGGATAGCCTGACGATCAGCAATGGATTAATGGTCATCATCAGATTGTTATTGCTGACTTTTTTTTTGTTGGATTCAAATCATATCATCTGCATTATTGGCAGGATTGAACCCAGGTCACCAGAACACTCCTGGGTCTTTGGGTTAACAGTCCAATGATAGCACCACTAGGCCATTGCCTCCCCTCTGAAAGGGAGCAATGTTTACAGTGCTGGATGGCATGCCAATCAGGCAGGCTGCTTGTTCTGAATGGTGTTGATTTCCTTGAGTGTCATTGAAGCCGTACTCATTTCACCAAATGAAATTACACTCCTGAGCTGTACCATCCAGGTAGGTCAGAAGATTTCATCACTTCGGAGTGCAAGAGATATGGAGATTGTGGTTGCGCTGTGTGGAGAGCTGCAACATCACTAACAATGGTGTAGTGAGGCTCTTCAATTACCATATGTTTTCCGAGACAGCTTACTATCATTCTGTCTGAGCTGGGAACAATGCCTGAGATGATTCACATTCACCAAGCAGGTGGTCATACAGTTCAACAACTTTGTTCAACATCACTTGGTGTCTCAGAAAACAGGGATGGCATTCCAATGGCCAGCAAAGTCAGTGCCACTAAACATCTACAAAGCTGGATTTCTCTAATTTCAAGCATAAATTATCCAGCATCTTCTAGTACACCATCCACCAATGCGTACAGGAGGCTATCTCTTCAAGTAAGGCAATGGTGTCATATTCCCAATGAGAGGGTATGAGGTTTTGCCAGTGAGATTCCTGATGCAGGGTGCCATTGACAGCTCACATATGACTCCACTGGTCCCACGTGTTGCTGGGGAAACTGATGGAAACAGCAAGGGTGAAGGAGAGGAGTTGATGTGGAACCCAAGAGGTCTGTAGTCATGCACTTATAACTAGAATATGTGACAATCGTGACGCAGTTGGAGTTGAGAAGGACCTAAAACACTAACGTGCCATCATTCTGAATGTTCTCAACAATTCCAGATCCTCACCACAGGCAGCACAACCTTCTGTGTCAGATAAAGGGGTTGAAGGCACACTGTACCTGCCACTCTGTACTACACCTCTCTGTGGACAACCTTGTGTATGGGAAACATGCCAGTGATTGTGTTAAACTGCATTTGATTGATGCTCCTATCAGAGCTGACTAGCTGGAGGCATATGGGGACAGTGACAGAGATGGGTTTGAGGCTACCTTCAATGGATGGTGTGAGAGCTGGCTTTCTGAGTAGTAGACATAAGTCCGAATGAGTCCTTAACTAGGGACAATTGAAAGGGGTGGTGATAGGTCAGGGCTGGGCAGGATGGTGGTAGGGTATCAAGCAGGATGTTGGTGTGGTGCACTGAGCAGCGTGAGAGTTTGGTGGAAGATTGAGTTGGAGATATTCTTTGAAAATGCATAAATCATTAAGCAGAGTAGGCTCGGAGTTTTTGTCACAGAATTTAGGAATTCAAGAAATTATAGCAATTATTTGTGAGGTAGATTGAGTGAGGTAAATGTCACAGAGCAGAAAACAGCAAAATATTTCATAGCAGTGTGCACTGCTCTGTTTCTGTCTGAATGATAAGAATCCCAGGAGTTCAGTTTAGTTTAAACTAGTTGGATTCCTCCACCTTGCTTCACTAAACGGAATTTGTAAGAAAGCTATGACGTTCGCTGATCATGTTTATCAAACATTTCTGTTTAATTCAACCACTGCAGGAGGCAAGGTTTCTGGATGAACTACCTTTGGAATGGAGGTTCTTTAGCTAGGTCCTCCCTTCATCTGATGTGCTGCTTATTTGGCATTGTCAAACACATTGTGAAGGATGTTAGGATGAGGTTGAAAATCAGTTTACCCACCTTGCAAATGATTTTGTTCATTCTACAAATGTAGCATCCTTTAAACCAGATGTATAAACAAGTGGTGGGAGCCACAGACATCTGCCACTTCTCAATATGTCTGGCATTTGTAGGATTGTTTAGTTGTATAAGCATCAGATTGAATTCAAATCTGTTTTGTTTCTGCTTAATAATTTAATTGGGCTGCTAAATTCAAAGTACTTACAATTTATAGAAATTTGTCTTGAAGGTAGAAGAGAGAGGGTGGTGTTGGAAGGTTGCTTTTCAGACTGGAGGCCTGTGACCAGCAGTGTGCCACACGGTTTGGTGCTAGGTCCATTGCTTTTTGTCATTTATATAAATGATTTGGATGCGAACACAGGAGGAATGGTTATTAAGTTTGCAGATGACACCAAAATTGGTGGTGTAGTGGACAATGAAGAAGGTTACCTCAGAGTACAATGGGACCTTGATCAGATGGGCTAATGGACTGAGGAGTGGCAGATTGAGTATAATTTAGATAAGTGTGAGGTGCTGCATTTTGAAAGGCAAATCAGGGCAGGACTTATACAATTAATGGTAAGGTCCTGGGCAAGTGTTGCTGAACAAAAAGATCTTGGAGTGCAGGTTCATAGTTCCTTGTAAGCAGGTGGACAGGTTAGTGAAGAAGGCATTTGGTATACTTGCCTTTATTGGTCAGTGCAGTGAGTACAGGAGTCAGGATGTCATGGTGTAACTGTGAAGTCATTGGTTAGGTCACTTTTGGAATACTCCGTTCATTTCTGGTCTCTCTGCTATAAGAAATATTTTGTTAAACTTGAAGGTGTTCAGAAAAGATTTACAAGGATTTTGCTGGGTTTGGAGGGTTTGAGCTACAGTGAGAGGCTGAATAGGCTGGGGCTATTTTTCCTGGAGCGTCAGAGGCTGAGGGGTGACCTTACAGAGTTTTATAAAATCATGAGGGGCGTGGATAGGGTGTATAGCTAAGGTCTTTTTCCCAGGGTAGAGGAGTCCAAAACTAGAGGGTAAAAATGAGAGAGGGGAGAGATTTAAAAGGGTCCCAAGGAGCAACTTTTTCACTCAGAGGGTGGTGCGTGTATGGATTGAGCTGCCGGAGGAAGTGGTGGAGGCTGGTATAATAACAACATTTAAAAGGTATTGGATAGATACATGAATAAGAGGGGTCTTTTGCACATCTTTGGACTGTGGGAGGAAACCAGAGCACCCAGAGGAAACCCACACAGACACAGGGAGAACGTGTACCCTGCACACAGCCAGTTGCTTGAGGGCAGATTTGAACCCAGGTCCCCAGCACCATGAGGTAGCAGGGCTAAACACTGAGCCACCGTGCTGCCAGATTCTATGATGAGTGTGACAAAGCTTGCTGCTGAAGAAGATGCATTGTGTATTTCCCTTATGTAATTTATACACATAGCTAAAAGCCTATCTGTAAGTGTAGATAGCTTATTCTGTTATTTACCCTTCTCTAGGCTGTGGGTGGACATGCACACTGGAACAAAAGTCAGTCTCGACCCTTCACTGCTGCAGCTAAACCAATCAACTTGTGAGTAATTCTCTTTTAATTGTTCAACCAATCTCTTGCACATGACTGAAGCAGCAAGCATTTTCAAGAAAATGGCATTTATGTTATGGGAATTGGTTTTTATTTGTACAAATAGAATGTGTGTACTTAAATTTAAAATAATCAACGAACCCTAGCATTACAGGCCGTCTTGTGGTGCATGGTAGTGTAATAAAATCTCTGAACAGGTTAATTAGAAAAAATAGGTTAAACTAAAAAAAAACCAGCTTTGTAGGCCCTCCTGTGGTGCAGTGATCGTATTCCTACCCCTCGATTAGGTAGGCCTGGGTTCAAGCCCCACCTGCTCCAGTCGTATGTAGTAGCATCTCTGAACAGCTTGGTTAGATAAGTCAGTTAAGTAAAAACTTTTAATCCTAATGTTGTGGTTAGTTACAAAAATAAAGCTGTTTAAGGAACTGACATTGATGCAATTCTGCAGAAATAACTCTAACGTAATATTTTACAGTACAAGCCTTTTCCCCAAAATTCATCAAATTCCACTGTACAGGTGAGAAACTTCATGACATAAAAATTGCAGAATATTCTCCTGATGGTGTGCTGGAACTAACTTTCTTTTCACTTTTTTTATTGGCAGTGGTTCTGTTGGTGGTTATAATCTGGAGGATAGAGATAACCCTTATGCCGACTTTACCCCCTTCACTGTACCTCGAACTGAAAAGCCACGCCATACAGATACATCCTAGTACGTATGTAAAAATACTCTGGTTCAGGGCAAGGGAAGCTGCCTTTACTTTATAGTTCTATTGTGTTACACCATTGTACTGTTAAATCTTTAAGCAATGAAATAGTTGTAATTTCAAAAGGATTGAGTGTTAATTCAAATTATAATTCTGTTTGCTTGGGACAGTTTATGGCTATAGTTTTAGGGATTGAAACATTCAGTGAAAGGATAAGAAAAAAAATTAAGTGTGGAATATAGAAATTATAACTTCATTTAATGAAGTATTAACTAGGATTCGAATGATTATTGACATTTATTCCTTGAAGAGTGTGGTTTTAATCATGCTTAAACCCTTTACAAATCTAATGAATGATAAATGATTCAATTTAAAGAACTGCAGTGTAACTTCTCCAGTGGGAGTCAGATCATTTCTGGGTTTTGGAATTTTCTGCATTACAGAATGATGTTAGAATGTCTGAGCACAAGGGATTGGACTGAAAATTACCATGGAAATATATATTTACCCGAAACATGAAACAAATAAAGCAGTGATAGAAATTGTTTAACATATAAAAGTGCCCACTCCCAAAGTACTGTATTAAAACGGTGCTGTGACATTGAGGGAATGTTTGGGTCTGCTCAAAAGCTTCTTGACAAATAGTGTTTGTAAGCATTACATTTCCAAACAAGAAACATTACAGTGTAATCAGTTTAATTTAATTTTATTTCCACCTGTTCTTTCAGCAGCAGTACTATTTTTTGCCTTTATTATTTTCCTTTCTTCAGTTGCCCAAATATACCTGGTTATACAGGTAAAAGACAATGGAATGTCACAGAAGCTAATAAATCCAACTTCTCAAGATTGTTCCATCCACCAGAACGCCATGGGTAAGTAGCTGACTACAATGATAGAATTTATGATTTCGGTTGGAGCAAAGGATGCAGTGCCAGGACAGTAACAGACTTGATGAAATGAGCTGGCTTTACATTACAATGTGGTCACACTGGCTGAATTTACGCAGTGATGATTGATCAACTAACTTTAAAGATTTTTGGAAGCTTCATATAAGTTGGGAGTACTGAGTGCTGGGGACCATAGCCATGGGCTTGAGCTGCTATTGAAGAGCTTCTGACTGACTTGAAAACAATCATTACTTTTGAAATAACAATCAGTTAAATCGAGGCAAAAGTGAGGCCATGTTCTTTGGGAACTGGGGTGACCGATCCTTTATCTCCTTTCCCTTCAAGACAGATTACCTGAAGCTGCTGGGAATATGATTCAGAGGGGCTGGGGCATGCGCTAAAACTTGTGAGGAGCATCTTGCCAAAGTGAGGCAGAAACTGGGCAGAGGGGAGCACCAACCCGTCTCTCAATTGCGGGTAAAGCCCTGGTCTCAGGTGGGAGGTACACTCGGTGTTGTTTTACATGGCACAGATCCGGCCCATTCCCCGAACCTGTGCCATTGCAGCCACCAGAGCCATGTTCCACCTCATCTGGAGGTCAAAGACGAGCTGTATCCACAGGGACACCATATACATAGCCCCAGATAAAGGAGGGGAAGAATATACCCAACGCCACCCTCATCCTGATGGCCACCTTTGTGTGCAGCTGCATCGAGCTGCACACAGACCCTCAGTACACAACACCAAGTGTCACTATGTACTGAGGCTCTCCCTGTCCCTGGTGTTACGGAAGATGGGCCCAGCCTCACTGCCGCAGAACGCTCCAAGCAATTCGACTGTTCAATATCACCCGTCTCTCATGGAAAAAATACAAAAAGACACCGTTGACCACAAATCCATCAGGTAGAGGTCAAGCATGTGCTTGAGATCTGCAGGAAAAGGAGAGTGTGGCTCCCCATGGGGTTGTTCCCTGAGCAGACTGTCAAAGCCATTTGGCAGAATGCCTCATCACCAGAGCTTTCTAACAGGCACCAAGATGTAGCTTGGCTGGTGGTGAGAAGGCACTATCCATCAGATCCTCCATGTACACTCAGTCTCTGTACTCCACTGCACGCTGCCCTCAAAGTGGCTGCACTGGTGAGGAGGCTGTCACACATCTCCTTTTGGAACGTGCTTTTACAAAGAAACTCTGGAGGGAGATGTAGTGGATTTTGTCAAGGTTTGCCCCGAGCAGCCCCGTGACACAGGACTCCGTGCTCTACGGTCTGTACCCTGGGGATGCACACTGCACCTGGAGGACCATCAGCTTGGTGAAAGACGCTCTTTGGTCTGTCCGAAACCTGTTGGTCTCTCAGTGTAAAGGGTTGACCTCGGCCAAGTGTTGCAGACTGGTACATTCCAAGGTTCAGGACTAAGTGCTGAGGGACGCACCAAAGCTTGGGGCATCTTCTGCCAAGGTGCAGTTGGGGAAAAGCTACCATCTAAGGCCTTTCTGCCGCAAAGTATAATGGGGGTCTCAGTTATGGGACCTTCTTGTTGCTTCAAATTTATGTAAATAGGGTCCTGCATGAGTAGGAAATGCCTTTGGTTTTTGCAATGGCAGGGAATGTCAAGTTTCAGTGTTTGCTTTCTCTTTATATGAATAAAGTATATTTTTGCAATTAAACCAAACCAGTACCAGCATCTTATCATGTAAATGTTACATATAGCACAACTAAAGCAAACCTTATGATGCAAATGTGGGAATACTGGCACATTTCATGGACCTGTGAAACCTGTGTTCCATTGCAAATTAATTTTCCAGAGATCAACATCGCCATCTGCTGCTGGAAAAGCTAAACTTCATTTCTACAAGGTTTTCTGGAGATCTCAAAGGCCATGGCACTGTACCATCATCAGTATTTCACTTTGAAAGGTTCATTAAACTTGAATTAATTTAAATCATACCCATCTTAAGAATTCACTCTCATTAAAAGCATGAATTTAACAAAAATCAGTGTAATAACCCTACCAGTTTTTAAAAAAAACATCAGTTTTTGACTTTTTTCCCTTCTTGAGTGCTATGATTAGAGTTTATTGCAAGAAGTTTAAACACAAGCCTGAATCACCAAAATGCAAATAATCAAACATTCTGAGAAAAAGGATTAATGATTGTACATTCAAGGAATTTTGCATTTTTGAATATTTTTTCTTTGGCCTGCCCAAGTTTGTGGTTACCGAGCAAGTACTAGTAAATACTAACGAAAGTTCAGGGGAACTTGTTAAAATGCAGTAAAAAGATTCGTCTTTGATTATAACTTGCACTTTTGTTTTGCAGAATTCCGCGTGGCACTGAAAAACCGTTAAAATATAGGCACGAGTCGCCCTTTTCGAAGATGGTGACAAAAGTCTCACCCTTCAACCCCTTTAACTCGAAAACATCCAAAGCACTTCGTTTATAAATAAATAAATATATAATTATATTTGCATGTGAGAACAGTGTGAGAAATGTGATTGCACATGGCTTTTGTTGTTTTCAAATCTAGATTATGCAATTAATATTTTATATGCTGCCTTTTTTGCCCTGTAATGTTTTTCCCAATTTCTCCTGAAGGGATTGAGTGCTGCCAGGTTATGGAAAGTGAATAGTTGGCAAAGTATTCAATAATTTGAGATTATCCACTTTCCTGCCTATCCCCAACAAGCTTTCACCCTGTTGCTTATCAAGAAGCTATCCACCTCTGCCTTAAAACTAGTCGCAGACTTTTCTTCCAACACCTTTTGTGGAGAGTTTCAAAGATTGACGACCCTCTGAGAGAAATACCTTCACTTTATCTCATTCTTAAATGGGCAGCCCCTTGTTTTGACACAGTGATACCTGGTTTTAGATTCTCCCTCAAGTTGAAATATCCTTTCCGTATCCACCTTGACAAGACACCTCAGGAACTGGTATGTTTAAACCAAATAACTACTTGGTCTTATAAACTCCAACAGATGCAAGCCTAGCATGTCAAACGTTTCCTCATAAGCCAATCCATCCATTCCAGTATTAGTGTGGTAAACTGTCTCTGAATTGTTCCAATGCACTTACATCCTTCCTTAAAGAAAGAAACTTATACTGTATACAGTCCTTCAGTTGTGGTCTCTGTATAACTTAGACATATTCCCCACTTTTGTACTTGATTCCCCTCAGAATAAACAAGAACATTTGAAGTTCTACTTTTTTCTTGTTTTTTTTCTTACATTCTATGTTTTATAAGAACATTCCTTATTTCCTGCACCTGATTCACCCAGATCCAGTTGCATCGCAGAGCTCTGCAATCTCTTGCCATTTGAATAAAAAGTTTCTTTTCCACTTTTCCTGCAAATAAACCATCAAATTCAGGGGATTAAGAGATTTGCTTCCACCTGCAAACATTTACAGAAATTGTTTGTCAATTTTCACTGCTTCCCCATTACTTCTCTCAAATGGCTCCTTGCCCCTAGCATCCCCATTATTTTTCAGAAGTTGCTGGGTTTTCACATATGTTGCATTGAATCCACCACATAAAATTAAACCTCATAATTGAACCAATCTGTATTTTTAATAATAGTTAATGCAATGCCTGGAAACCTTCCAGAGGTTTAACAGTTTATTCTGTGGAACGCCAGTTCTTCAAATTGCAAGGAAAGCAGTGCTGCAAGTTAAGAATTCCAGTTAAAGAAGGAGGATGCGAAATATTGGATACACTAAAATAATAAGAAAGGAGGTACAGGAGGAACTGAACTTGAAGCTAGCTAATCACTAGGTCTGGATGAATTGTATCCTAGCTGTTGCAGTCAGCCGGGGAGGAAATGAAGGATCCTCTAAGCATCATTTCCCAGTCTTCATAATATATAGGTGGAAGACAGAGGATTAGACATCTTCAAATATTGTACTATTGCTAACAAAATGTGCAAGCGACTGGGGATTAATGCTGAGCTAGTGGATAGGCATTTCAGTGGTAGTAACTATTGTTCTGTAAGATTTAAGATAGTGATGGAAAAGGACAATGTTGGAATGAAAATAAAGATTCTGAATTGGAGGAAGGCCAAAGTGACAATCTACATGTGGACCTTGAAGAGCTGAGTGAGGTTTTAAATGATTTATTTGTATTTGTGTTCACTATTGAAAAGAACAATGTTCATAGAGGAATCAAGGAGGGCACTTACGATAAATTTGAACAAATTAGCATTGAGAGGCAGGAGGTATTGTTATTATTAGGAGTTTTAGCAGGCTTCCAGTTGGATAAGTCCCTAGGCCCAGGAAAGATGTAACCTAGGCAATTGTGGGAGGCAAGGAATATTGCAGAGCTTTGACATTAATGTTCAAATCTTCTCTGGCCACAAGAGATGTGCCAGTGGATTTGAGGATGGCTAATATGGTTTCCTTACTCAAGAAGAATAGTAGCAATAAATCAGGGGATGTTAAGGTTTGAGTCTAACATCAGTGGTGGAGAAACATTTGGAAAACATTCTGAGGGATAGAATCAATCTCCATTTGGAGAGACAAGGATTAATCGGGATTGCCTGCATTGATTGTGAGAAGGACATGTCTCACAAATTTGATTGAGTTTTTATAATTATAATTTGTCATTTGTATGATCCCTGGTTTTATGAGAATGGAACAGACCTGATAAAAGCAAAATAATGCGGTTGTTGGAAATCTGAATTAGAAACAGAAAGTGGTGGACAAGCTGAATAGGTCTGGCAGAATCTGTGAAGACAGAAACAGAGTTAATGCTTTGAGTCTTGTTTAACTTCTTCAGAAGTGAAAAGGCCTGGAAAATGGTGGCTTTTATGCTGTTGACAGAAGGGGAAGAGGAGTGACTGGAACAGATTGTGAGGGTGCCCAGAGCAGAATACAAAGTGTGTGTTAATGGTAGTAAAAAAGTGGTAGAGATATAAATATGTGTAAATTAAGCAGTGAAAAGGAGAAAATAGTTCCACTCTGCTGAGAGCCAAGTCAGCAAGATACAAATGAGACACGGCCAGGGGAGTGGAAGAAAATTGGAGGATACAGTTCATGCTCTGAAATTGTGAAACTCAATATTAGCTCTTAAAGGCTGTGTAATATCAAAGCAGAAAATGAAGTTTTGTTTCGTCATGAGATAGTAGGAATTGCAGATGCTGGAGAATCTGAGGTAACAAGGTGTAGAGGTGGATGAACACAGCAGGCCAAGCAGCATCAGAGGAGCAGGAAAGTTGACGTTTCGGGCCTGTTTCGTCATCTTAGGTTGACCTTCATTAGAACAGTGCAGAAGGCCCAAGATAGAAATGTTAGCATGGAATCAAGATGTTTTGTTGAATCCTGAAGTTTGTTGAACATTTTATCTCCTATTATATTTCCAGATGCAATATCTTGAAGAGCATTGAGCTCTGAGCAGCCAATGGTCACTGTTGCACTTGTTCGTTTGTTGGGTTTGGAGGAGAGAATCAAGGTCATTCAAGGTCATCTACTGCTACATTGGCTGCATTTTCTTGCCCTTTTGTTGTGGTGTGCGTTGGTTGCACCTATCTCGTGATAGCAGCCAGGGCTTGTTGTTGCCAAGAGTGATAAATGTGAACAAAGTGGTTAGGTCTTCCACAGGTTTACACCAGTAGCACAACCACAGTTGAAGCATAGTCCGCACACCGCAGGCTCGGTTTATGTGGCAGCTGTTGCTTTGCTTTCCCATATATGAGCTGTGAACAGTGTTTACAGGAGTTGAACTTGGAGATCTTGGTAGGCTTGAATTAAATGGTCCTGGAATTGGTAAATGATAATAACCTTGTAAAGTCTAATAGCTCTGATGGCTTTTCTCTCTTCCTCTAAAGCTTTCGACCATAGTTGCCTGGAGAGACATCTTTGATGATCTGTGTATTTAATTCCCTTCACCAAAGTTAAATATAGGTGCCAGTAGCCTCAGACGTGTGCAGGGCTAGTTGATCATCTCATTGGCTTTTTACCTCATGTCAAAAAGTACTTGCTGTATTCTCCTTTGGTTTTAAATACAATGTCCGATCCATTCTATCTGACTGCATAATTTTGCTCAGGTGTCAGCTTTTCAAACAATGTCTTCTTATTCTTTTACCAGTGTGTTGGAAATCAAATACTAAACTAGTCCCACCTGTCTGCTCCTGGCCTATATCCTTCCAAACCTTTCCTATTCATGTACTCATCCAATGTCTTTTAAATGTTGTGATTGTACCCATATTCACCACTTCCTGATGAAGTTCATTCCACATGCGAACCACCCTCTTTGTAAAAAAAATTGCCCCTCACATCTTTTTTAAATCTCTCTCCTCTCACTTAAAAATATGCCTCCTAGTCTTGAAATCCTCATCCTAGGGAAAAGACAACTACCATTAACCCTACCTATACCCTTCATGATGTTATGAACTTCTATAAGGTCGCCTCTCAACCTCCTATACCCCAGTGAAAAGAGTCCCAGCTTATCCAGCCATTCTTTATAAGTCAAACATCTTGGTAAATCTCTTCTGAACTCTCTCCAGCTTCATTATATCCTTCCTATAACTGGGCAACCAGAACTAGACGCAGTCTTCCAGAAGAGGCTTCACCAATGTCCTGTACAACTTCAACATAACGTCCCAACTCCTATACCCAAAGGACTGAGCAATGAAAACAAGCAAGCCAAACACCTTTTTAACCACGTGTACAGCTGGATGAACACAGCAGGCCAAGCAGCATCAGAGGATCAGGAAGGCTGATGTTTTGGGCCTAGACCGGAAATGTCAGCCTTCCTGCTCCTCAGATGCTGCTTGGCCTGCTGTGTTCATCCAGCTCTACACCTTGTTATCTCAGATTCTCCAGTATCTGCAGCTCCTACTATCTCTGAAAACTTTTTAACCACCCTGTCTATATGTAATGCAAACTTCAAAGAATTATGTACCTGAACCCCTAGGTCCCTCTGTTCTACAAAACCACCCAAGGCCCTACCATTAATTGATTAAACCCTTCCCTTGTTTGTTGTACAAAATGTAATACCTCGCATTTATCCACATTGAAATCCATCTGCCATTTTTCGGCCCATTGAACCGTTTGATCAAGATCTCTCTGTAATCTTAGAAAATCTTCTTCACTGTCTATTATGTCCCCAAATTTACTAACCACGCCTTCCATATTCTCATCCAAATCATTTGTATAAATGTCAAACAAAAGAGGACCAGAACCGATCCCCGTGGAACAGCACTGGTGACAGGCCTCCAGTCTGAAAAGCGACCCTCCCCCACCACTCTCTGCCAGTTGCCGTTAACTGCTTCAATCATTTACTTCCATTGTGCGAAAAGAAGATGGCTTCAGCTGTGTCTTAAAGGGTCTAAGTTAGGGACAGACCATGTCATTGCCATCAGCAATTTTGATGAAACTGCTGTTTAAAATTTCCACAGGTTAAATCTGTACAGCTTGTGTGCCTTTCAACACTAGTTGATTGTTTCTATCTGCAGCTTGAAATAGTCTCTACATCTTCCAATGGG